TGAAATTTGACACTTTCGCGAGTATTCATTTAAATGAGACTAATATTTTTCAGATTATGCTACGCTTATTTTATTATTGTAAGACCTATATAGGTACTACTTCATGCCCGTGACCATGGTTGCTGAAAAGTACCGAAACGTCGGGAGCATGTAGCTTATAAAATAATAAAATACGTGGAGTATAATAATCAGACAAATATTAGTCTCACCTATATAGGTACATATTTCTTTTTCATAAAACTATACAGAACAAATGTTATACTTTGTGCTACTAATGAAGCTGCTTCCTAATATTATTCGGAGCATTATAAAAAATCGTATAATGTACAATTGTACACGTCATTATCTATAATAATCATAAATGATTCCATCAGCAAATTGAAATTTTAACTTGCGTATCTTTATCTCCTTTTGATATAAAATTACTCAGGGTATTTTTTCTTCTGATTTAATCAATAAAGTTTAAGTAAAAATAAATTTATTGGTACTTATTAAAAGGTTATCCTAACATTTGCCAATGAAATCTGATTTTTGTATTAACATGAATTAAGTTGGAAATCTATCAACAAGACAAGTATTTGATAGGGCTCGTCTCTGATACTTTTTAAAATCTATTTTAACAATGGACTACGTTTAGAAGAAGCATTATTAGCACCTAATACGAACAGTAGGAGATCATTTTCCTTAGTAGCCTTTTTTGATTTTTCTTTAAAAGCATATTATTAAATTCACACATGTGTGTGTGTGTGTGTGTCTTTATAATAACGAAAAAGGCTAAAAAGTAATAATTAAGAAATACTTATAGTCCGTTTTCTCCTTGACACCACAATAGTTTCATCCCTACTAATATTATAAATGCGAAAGTAACTCTGTCTGTCTGTCTGTTACGCTTTCACGCCTAAACCACTGAACTGATTTTAATGAAAATTGGTACAGAGATGGAGTTGACCTTGAGAAAGAATATAGGATAGTTTTTATCCCAGACTTTTGAGAGGTTCTCTTGGAAATACGATATACCCGAACTGGACGCGGGAGAAGCTGCGGGCGGAAAGCTAGTAGGTAATAACTATACTTGTATCAATAAAGGGTAATGTAAAGATATTTTATATGATGCTATTGAACACTATATGTTAATGTGGAATCGCATCCAGGGCATAGGTATCGTATGTCCGTTACGCTTGTAAGTACCTGAACGTCTACCGATCATGAACCATGATCTCTCACGGGAACTGCATCTTATTGTTCTAGTACATACTAGTAGTAGTAGTAGTAAATACTAGTTACTTAGTTTACTATCATTATAGTACATTTAGACTTATTTTCACAGTGGTATAAATTTTCAAGGTCAATGAAAGCTTTCAACATAAATATCTTTTCGACTTTTTGTTTTGTTGCCTGGCAAACGTGAAGATAGATCAACTAAATCATTAGTACAAGTATAACGCTTTTCCTTTTCTCATCATATAACCTATTACACGATAATCTGCGTATGTTTATGAATGAAAGCATATATGTAGAAATAGCTAGGTGTAGTAATGTAAAGTTTTAAATAAACTTACCTTTATTTCAAATGGCGTTAGTCTAGCGATCTTGCTGCCCCTTACACAGTATCATTTGTTGCAACATTTTTCAATAATACTGAATCTTAATAAAAATTGCACCTTGCGCTTTGGTTCGATACTGAAACAGATATTTAGACATCATTCCACAGTCAAGCGATCAAAGACAATAACTGTCGTTTCGAATAATCAGTTAAAGATTAATGGAGGGAAAGTAAGAAAAATAAGAAAGTGGATAGTTAGGAATTAAAATTTATCTTTAGTTTACTGCATGAAATTACTTCCTAGAATGTGTTGTTTCCTGATTTCTATGGTAGGAATATAATATTATTAAATCTTCATTCAGTTTTAGTTTTTATAATAAATTAAACTTGAGATCCTTTTAGAAACTACCGTTTTTTTTGTTTTAGTCAAACAGACATACTTATATTAATAAAAAACTTGACAAAAAATAAATTAAATAATAAGTAATTGTTTCTAAATATCTTATTATAATCAATTGATAATTCAGTGTTTGTGAATGTTTGTTCTATATCAGGTGTAACTCTATTAACGCCGCCGTAGCGTGGAACGGAACGTAATCATCGAATTATGTCAGTGACGAGCAATGTAAAATGTTTTATGACAGATTTATTGGTTTGACAAGATAATGATAATTACAAAATGTATGTAGTTTGATGGATTTTATTATAATATTCTTAAAAGATGATTTTTTGTTTAAAAATTAACTACCATTTACATGATGCGTTAATTAATATTTTTAAGGAATAACAAGACATTTCACTCATATTTTATATTATCTACCATTAAAACTTTTCAATATTAGCAATTAACTGCGATAAAAACAGTTTTAATTCCTGTTTAATAAAATTACAAAACATTTAAATAATAAAACTGTAGTGAGAGAGCCGTGATTTGTATGAACATTTACAATATGGTTGCCTGTTTTTTATATAAAGGGAAATATCAAATACCTACTTGAAGCACTCATGCTTTTAGAAATACGACAAATCAATAATTTCAATGGAACTCGAGTCAACTCAATCATCATTGTATTTCTGTCAACGATGCTATTTTACTCAATCAATTCTATTAATACCAAAATTAATATATAGTTTTTCATACAAAAAAGTTTTAATTTAATGCAAATTTAGATTGGAATAAGATTATTAAATTAATTTAAAAACAGATTACGTACGTAACTGCTCGATAGCTGCACGATATTTCTATATGAGACTACTTGAAGTTTAAGTACGTCACAAATTCTGTTCAATATATGACGTAGCTAACTAGTGATGTGACATCACCGCTGTGATGCCTCTCAGAAGCCGGCGTCTCGCACATGCGTACTCGTATACTCTATGTCAATGTTGTTTAAACCGCGAGCACAGTTTGCCGGCCGTCGTCGTATAGCTACGTCGCGCTGTGGTTGCGAAGAAGGGCTCGTTATACATACGTTTTACGGAAATTACATTCTTTGTTTTTTAATAACGATTCGCGATAATAAAAACCGTGACAGTGATAATTTACGCTGGATATGAACCGGTGATGTGTTTGATCCGGTTTTAGTGATGTGTTTGTGTTAGTAATGTTGCCGTATAAATTACGGTAGAGGTAATTGTAATTAGGTTTAAATTGTGATCATAGGATGCAGGCAATGTCAAATTAAAAGGTTCTATCGGTTGAATAATTTTTCATTTGAGAAATAAGAGGATTTTTATCAGATGTGTAATTGGACGTTATAAAGTCATTATAATTTTAATTGTATTATGATAATAATAATTATCGGTTTTGTATTGATTTGAATACATATTTTTTATTCTTTAGTTTGTTATGTTTCTAGCGGGATGAATGAGTATGTAGTTTCTTTCAGATAAGTAACGAGCGTGACATATTTATTGATAAATTACTGTGGCTTTTCTGTTCTTTGAATTACCTGTTTCCATTTTAGATAACGACTATTTATTTCATTTTATTATATCCGTTTCTTAGTCATTGTAAAGGTGAAATGAACTCTAGAATTTAATTGATATTAAAACATGCAATGACTACATAAATACATATATCTTTAGTAAATATTTTGAGTTCATCGTAAATTAATGTTTTGCCATTACTTACCTCATTCCTAAGTAACAAAAACTTAATTGTTGTCCAATTGTAATTTAATTGTTAATTATTTGATGTCTGCTAAGAATATTTTGTATAAAATTCTTCATAAGCAACGTTTTCTTTGGAAAATACCAAGGAATTTTGTAACACCCTAAAATATTTTGTTTAAAATTTGGTAAGAAATCAGGTAGATTTTTAACAAAAGGTTATGCACCTGACATATGGTTTACCACCTGTCTTTATTAAAGCTTAACAATAAACCGTAATTCTTAGGTGATATGGTCGAAAATGACTTATTTTGTTCGATCAGGTAAAAGTAAACGGTTAATGCATCTGGTACACCAGGTGTTCTTATCTTGAAATGAGCTGTTAAAATTGATGTTATGTTAATAATATACTTTTTAACAACATTTCGGAATTGTAATTTATTTATGTAATCAACGTTGACAACAAAAACCGTTTATAATTGATTACGAACGCAATAATATATAGCGATTTCCAATTCTCAGTCTTATTTTGTTCTAGTTATTTTATATAAAAATTCATGAGATCGTGCATTGCGACATGTTGTTACCGAATAAGCAAGGTACCGCTGGCCCGCTCCCTTCCTCAATTACCTAATATCCTGGACAGATATCGACCCACTTACTAAGTTACTATAAATTCATTTCTTTCTGTATTTTAAATGTTTTATAAGTACAGCTTCTCTTGCTCAAAGGATTGGGTTGTTCATTCAATAAGATACTTATTTTTTTATAATTAATTCAAATGAGAAATTGATTTAAGATAAAATTATGAAGTTATTCAGATAGTTAAATTATTATAGTTAAATCAGACACATTATATTTTTTTGTAAAGTATTTAATAAATATTCAGAATTGTAGACGTATAAATTACTCATTTGCCATATCAGATGGGCACAGATATCAATGGGGGATTATCCTTTTGTACTTGATTGTAGTTTTAATTAATAATGGCTTGACGTAGTAGATAACTTTATCGATCTCGTTGTCGTAGTCTTGTTCTATTAATAACTATGTTGCGTATGTGTGAGTGGATATTTCTAGATTGTTGAAGACGAAAAGAATTATCACGATTATTTAATTCGTAATACCACGAAATCATTGACCTTATTACAACCTCGACCTTGTTGTACAATAGACGCCGATTATTCATGTACTATACACATATCTATATGAATATTTATGAAATTTTAATTTGGCATTGTCTCCATATCTAACTAATATTATGTGTAGAGTAGTATAGTTAAAATGTTGAGTGTTTCCGTCTGGACAAACAGTGTGTGTAATGAGGGTGGGTAGTTGAGTAGTCATGTTGGTGCGAGGCTGTGGTGGGGGTGAGTTGCGTCACTCGTTGGCCGAACGCACCAAGGCCCTGGCGGCTAAGTGCCACGCGCTGCGTTCACCGGCTCGCGAACAACGCAGCGTGGAGAGACGACGTCCCAGAAACCGCAAGTCGCAGACGCGATGGTACGTCAAGGTTAGTTGCGATCCACGAACGTCGACTCGAATAAGTGGCCACTCGGTTCAAAGGACGCACCGAACTCATTAACATTTGGTATGTAACAAAAACGTAAAAGAAAAGTATCGAGATTTATTAACGACCAGGAATAACGTCAGACACTGAGGAATGTCAAGGTGACTGGCGACATGCGATCCTTTACTTTGGGTGTCTTCCTATTGCAATAGAAACGAGCTTTTGGTATTAGGTAACGCATTTCGCGTACACTGATTGCCGGACTTAGACTTTTTTACTTAACTACATACTTTGAATCCAAAATAAGGAGGGTTGTTGCGTAAATGAGTTTAAGACTTTAAATCTAGATAAAACCAGTAAAATATGTCCGCCTTTAAGCACTTAAATCACATCTCAATATAAGTTTGTCTTCTCCATATATGTGATTATATGACTAATTGCTAATTTAATTTAAAACATGTTCCAACTCTTTGGTGATAAGCGATTATTACTCAGTTGGGTTTTTTGTGAATTTAAAGGAATTTGCATAAATTGATATAACGTTTAATTATTTTAAATGTGTCATACATAACATGTTCAATTTGTTGAAGATTTCCTCTGAGAAGTAATTCCCTGTAACGCTTACACGTTCTTTGTTTACTAAGTATAACGGAAGCTGATGTTTCATGGTTCTAAATGATGAATCAATACTGATATTGTTAGTACACCAGTAACTTGGTATGACAAACAAATATTACACTATCATCCCAACATCTGTAGTCATGTTAGTATTACAGAGATCAGATTTGATTTTCATTGTCTTTAGCTCCTCAATGCAGGCCAAGGCTCGAATTATGTGATTATATATGTGTGTGCGCTATCAGCTATGGAATGCTTGCTTTCGAAGCGTCTAATACATCTTAAATATGACCCAACTAGGTACCGTTGTAGTTTCTAAAACGACTTTAAAATCCTAAGTATTTACATGTGTTATCAATATGTCAGTTGAAATATTTGCAAAAATAATGAAAAAAATTGAGTATCGATAGTATAATGCAATTTTTTATACGTAGATATTTGAGTTTAATATATCGGAGCCCCTCCTCGTTCAAGGATCTCTTCACGCAGGCCGTGCTTGAGTGCTTTTCATAGCAAGCCCTAACCCTCTAAAATAAGTGGAAATGCTTTGCTTTATCGTCGTTTAATGAAAATATATAAATCTACTTATATATTTTTATCGTATGACTCACCGTCTCAATACATGCACAGTAAACGTAATTAAAGTGTGGTTTAGCGTTTTCAATTTTTCTCATGAATCAGACAGGCGTCATTCAAGGGCCTTCATCCTCGTAATTATGTACCGCGAATAAGAAGGACAGATAATTGTGAAATAATAATTATATGCTTTATATAATTATAGTTTTGACTGAGTAATTGAACTCACTTTAGTAGTCAGCTTTTGTTAGTGTACGCTATGAATGATGATAGTTGCTAACTTGCATTAGCAGTCATATCTATTCAGGACAAATATAAAAATACATATATGTATAAAGATAAAGTTATATGTTCGTCGCAACCTACTAAAGATGCGTTATGAGCGAAAAAATTAAAAAATTTCATGTATGTATATCCACTGTATTGATGAAGAAAAAAATCCTGTTCATTACGACTGATAAAAAAATCATAATTTTAATGATAATCGATTTAGTTCTGAGTTTGTGGCAGACTAAAACGCTCAACGCTCTCAGTACTATCGATTGTGAGGGTAATGACCTTTGCTAGTGTGGTTGCTCAGCTGATTTTAATTTCAAGATATTACGATAGAAATCTTCTTAAAAGGCACTTGTGTACAATTTTATTTTGTCCAAATAGTTTGGTGATATTGTTGTATTAAAACTATTTTTTGGTTACAGTAACGAGAAAGTTTTGAATTCCAAGTATTATATTCTAAATGACATTTTGCTGCAATTTTTTTTAATAGAAAACAAGTAGAAAGTTTAAATGCGTTATATGTTGTTGTCAAATAAGGTAAGCGTTTTGCTTGCTTTACCGGTGAAGTGAAATCGTCAGTTAGATGCTGACAACATGGTATTATATTACCATAACGTTAGACACGACGACAATTTAAATAGACACGTTGCTGGTAAAAACTCACTGACTTCTACCATACTTTAAACTTTCATTCATAATCACGGTAAAGTACGTCTATCCATTTACTATATGAAGTGAAAGAAAATCTATTAATCGTTAATTCGTAAGTTATGTATATACACAATATAAATAAATAAATATATACTTTTGTCGCGACTTCGCTCGCGTGTTTGAAGCTGAGACAGTATGTAGTCCAATTCATTTTATTACCACCTAAGCTAGGATACATTTATGCATAGATACAGATTAACAATAACATATAAGCTTTCCCTCTATAATGTCAGTTCCTAGTAATCAATTGTCCACGAACCTAGTACTCTAAAGTAATATCATAATATGTCATGTAATTTGGGGTCATCATGAGGGCGGGATTGCCATCAGCCAAGCGAATCGGTTACGCTTAACGCTTTTACAATGCTTTCTAGATGTATTACGAGATAAGCCCTTTGTTTATACTACATTTAGGTGTACGATAAATAACAATTAAAATTAAAAAAAATATATTACTAATATTTATATATTAAAAACGCTAACTTTTTGTCAATGCGTAATAAAGTAAAAATATCAACTATGGTTACAAACTTTTACTTTTTACGGTGTCCTATCAGAGTACACTTTCTCGCTTTAAATATAACTTTTATATAATCTGTACCAAATGGATTTTACATGCTTTCTTTACGGATATAGATTGGGATACCGAATACCAGAAAATGAAAATATGGCCAGTGTTGCCATTGTACACGTTGGTGGGATACAAGCTTTAAAAATTTGTTATTTTTTTTTTATCATACAAAAGTATTAATTAGGCTTTATTCCGATAATGCAGATATAGAAGCTTGTTATTTTTTTGGTCGACCCTGAAGATATTGTGAAATTTTTGCTCATAGAATTCGTTTTAAATTTTTATGAAATAAATATATTTTTTTATAGTCACTATGATTTACTCGAGGATCGCTTAATAATGTTAAAATTTATAAATTAATAGTAAGAGTAATTTTTATCGAGAAGGTACCTAACTCCTAAGTATTAATTAACCGTTAAACATGATACAATATTAAATTGTTGCGATTACTCAATTCAATTCTTTAATATACGGCCTTCATCCTTTTATAGTGGACAGTAACTCAGGTCACTTACAGACAGATTGCATTAGCAGCTGATTCCTATTAAACATTTACCCTATAGGTTAAGGTCTTACTTACGTTCCTAATTGTAAAACAGTTAGCTGCACTTGACGTATTTCAACGTCACCATTCTTGTATTGTACTATTTCCTGGCTTGAGTGCTTTGTTGGTCTGTATTTTAGTTTTCGTTTTACTGTACTTTTATAATACACTAGTTTTTGCCCGCGACTTCGTCCGCGTTAGTTTGGTCAAGAGTAATATATGTAGGTATAGCTGACCAGGCGAACTCTATTCCGTCTTAGAGGCCATAAATAATCAGGTTTTTTCTGTTTCAATCAAACAGAATTGACATATTAGTTAGTTGTCAAATCTAATGTCAAAAAAAACGTTTGTATGGGAAATAGAAAAGGGCTGTTTTTAGGGTTTTCCCGGCAATTATTCCAATTTTTCTCACCTTTTCAACCTTCCCTGGACTTCCAGGAGTATTTCAAGACAAATTCGCCAAACCGGTTCAGCCGTTCTCGAGTTTTAGCGAGACTAAGGAACAGCAATCCATTTTTATATATATATAGAAGATTATATAATGTATTAACATTGAAAAGAATTATAAATGAATTGGTGCAACAATTTTAGTTTTGTTTTTTAATACTAAGATGGATAGCTAATTAAATTACTTACTCATATTTTCAATGAAGGAAATTTAGATCATATTATCTTAATAAAAAATTAAATTAGTTATATAAATGCTTGAATGTAGGTATAAAAATAAATCTACACTCATGATGCCTTTGGCCACAACCAATACGCTGTTTTTGTTAAGTTTAGATTTATAACAGGTTAATTGCACACGCAACGGATATATAAGGTCAAGAAATGTTTTGGTTCAACAAAAAGTTATGCAGCTTCTGCCTTTAAAGGGTACAAAGACGAATGAACATGACCCCGGGCTGATAGCGTGAGAAAAAAAGCTGGTTTAGACGTGACGTCCCATTGCGAGAACGCTACATTACAATTCTCCTTTCAACCACCCTTATTGTATTATTCACACTGACGTTATATAGATACTACTGTCATAGTTAAAACCATAATATATATAGACCATAAAAAACTGTAATGTGATAAATTCGCAAAACAAGCTGATATAAATATTTCATTACTGTCAGAAAATGTGTTGAAAAGTTTGATTTGGTTTTTTAAATTTACGATACCTACTAGTGAAAATTTTGACTGGTACACATTATACTAAAATTTTAATTTCTATCTGCTTCTGAAGGTGCGGAAATAATACATATAATTGTTCCGAATGATATAGGGATGTTACCTAAATCTGAGCACAATATTTAATTCATCTTCAATCCTTAATCAGTACGATTTTTCTACCACCTGGGTAATTCGAGTTTAATAGTGATTTTTGGCTTTTTTCTTATTCGTGAAACCTTTATTTGATTCGCAATATTTGTATCCTTCGTATGGAGCTAAATCGTCTACTAAACTATTTATTTTAGGAAAAAACATTATTCAAAGAAAGCGGTAATCGTATGTCCTATATATGTATATACCCGACTGGCAGTAGTACGATATGGACACTATCTTTTATACAAGAGATGATTTTGTAATAAAAATTTAATTTTAAGTGATTAGGTTTTCTATAACAAAAATAAAATTCTACGCTTTTTACTTTTACCAATCATTATAATGATCTACATTCATTGCCAGTAATCGGTAGAGATCAAAGTTCAAAGTATGCAGTTCCTAATTAATAGGCATAATGGAAACAAATTATAAAATGACAGAGAGCTCCTTAACAGGCGTCGTGCATAATATGACCACTGTTTTTAGTCTTAATTTTAATATTTTTTAAGAAACAGATTGTAGGTATGCATTGTACAGGTAAAAATTAAGAATACGCCACATTTAAAAATATGTTTTAATGCCAGTACACACGGGGCCTGCTTAAGGGTTAAAATAGAAACTTGTACGAGGGAATAAATCTTAGGGGCGGGAGGTCTAACAAGATTCTCTTTTACCCTTACTCTGCAGCCGGCTGTAATCCGACATTCAATAGATAGTCGGAATAATTTAAGAAGTATTGTGTTATAAATGATATACGATAGTTACGTGTCTTTTTCTAACAACATTGGTCAGTTTAATTTAGCCGGGTTTTCAAGCAGTATTATATGTATAAATCTTGAATCGATATAATACACGAACTACACAGACAAATGTATTTAGAATCAAGTTCAATAGCTATGAATTGATTCAATAGGAAATGCCAGAGCGCACTTTGCGCTGTTAATTTATGTTGGAATTAAAACTCTATTTAGTGTTAGATGTTCTGAAGGGTATTGTAGTGTACAATGTAGTGTAATGCGATCTTTTTACATTGAACAAGCGCTCAAACAATAGCCACTTGACATGTCTTGTATAATATTGAGAAAACACTTACTGATAATTCTTTGATATCGAGAAGTGTCTTTAACATTCGCTTTCGTCTAAGAAATTTGATTTTTGAATGTGAATTTTAAAAAAAGGTTGTTTATTGTGATAAAGGTTAACATTGCTTGTTTTTCAATTAATGATTTCCTTAAATGCTTTTTGTTTTATTCTCCGTTTGACCAAAATCATTAAACTGTCATTAAAAAGAATAAATAATATGCGAATATTGTAACAGTATGACATTTTTTTTCACTTTATCCATGTTTGTATTGAATGTTTATCGTGTTTGTTATATTTACAATCTCAGCAAAAAACACGTCAACATTGCCCTTGTTTGAATAAATAGTTGTCAGTCTGTGATTTCTATAATTATGAGAACCTTTACGTATAAAAAAAACTTTTTCTTTGCTAATATCTGTGTATTATATATATAAATACACAGTACACAATCCAAACGTTTTTTTGCGTGTCTTTTTTTACTCTTGTTTGTATATAAAACGATCAAATCACTAAAAAGGCTGAACAGATTTTGACGGTACTTTCACTTGCAGATAACCAAAGTAATAAGAAGTACACGAGGCTTTATTTCAGAAAATATATTTTTATAATAAATTACTAAGTTGAAACAAAAAGTCGTAATAACAGCTAGTTTTCTTTAAACATGTTTATAAAGATAATAATACAAGAGCTGACTAAAATATTTTATTACTATATTTTAATACGTCTGTAATGTAAATCTAAGGAAACCTGTGTTGTTTTTGGCTTCGCGTTATTTTTTGTACATGCATTTTGAATATTTATGTCGGGTCAAGCGAGGTCAAGCATCTCAACAGTGTTTGTATAAAATATGGATATTTATAAGAAGCTAGTACTTACCATTATTATTATTTATCAAAATGAAACATATTAGGCACCGAGAAATTGCATGTCTAAATTTTTAATAATCAAATGGCATATAATGGCATGGCATGGCAAATCAATTCTAATGGATAATTGTTCAAATAGCTACATTCAATTGTCGTAGATCATTTATTTTTATAACGTTAATATTTCAAAAGACAGACACATTAACAAAATATTCCAACGGTTTGATTTGTTGGTAAATAATAGAACTTGACTTAAGTATTACTATAAACTGTGATTACGTTCTTATTACTTTCAGCTTACTTTACGCTTTTAGTAATAAAATGCAAGCTATTCGACAATTAACAGAATATTAGTACTATAGTTATATATCCTGCGGTTTGATAACTTTTATTGAGTAATAAATACATATAATTCATTTTAATTTTAATCCAAAGTTGTTTGCAACTCTATGAAGCCAATTCCGATGTCATACAGCGAAGGAAATGAAAGGAAAATTACCCGGCATATTGAGGTAACACAATCGACCTCATTTCACACTTGACCCGTTTCCATTTCTGTTTCATCTTTATATTAATATTGTACCAGGTCAGGTTTTATGGAATTGGAAAAAATAACAATAAGGTCACCACACAAACGTGCCAAATTTTTTAATAGTTAGGTTGTATGTGATTTTAACTTAACCATTAGTCAAGGAATGTCTATCTATTTTTATTATTTTGTATCTATATAATGAAAGAGGATTTGCTTTACACTATAAATATTGATCAGTGAAATTTTGGAAATTTGCCATAGTGTGGAAGAAAAGTCGTCCAGCCGAAGTATACACGAGTATAACAGGAGTATTTAATTTACTTACTTACTTTTATATATTATTTTATTTAAATATGTTATATGAATACGATTGTTATTCTTATGATAACACAAAAATATAGTTTCTATATTAATAACACAGTTATTTTTAAAACGAGCCGTAGGAGATTTTTTTTAGTTATTTTATTTTGATTACAAATTTTCAAACTTGTATCATTAAAATCAGATTATAAGAATATTATGAAGACTGTTTTGTTATTTTAATGTAAGCATTCGTAACAACAAACAACATGTCTTGTGCATGTCTTAGCAATTTAATCAATAATAATTGTACCGCTCTTTCTAACATTATATAAGATGTTGCGATGGCCAATAATTATGCATATATTCTTATAACTATGAATTATTCACTCCCGATACTATTACTATGATGTAAGATTCGTATTTTGATCATATGTATTACATAAAGAAATGTTTATTTATACATAGTATATAAAAGAAAACTTTTCTAAGTGTAGTGATTTATATTTATATTGTGATCCTTATCGTATCAAGTTCAATTTTAATTACGTCATTTTAAGTTGTCAAAAAAATAGATAAAGAAGGAAGACGCCGTGATCGGTCTAATCTCATTTTTTATTAGGTTTGTTCAAAACAGTAAAACGAACATCCAAATAAACTCGATTTAAAAGTAATTTGAAACATACTAATATATATATTTAATTATTTTACTAACAGACTAACCAATTAAATTAAACTCGAACACATTGTTACTTAGTACATACTTACAAATAAATTGTAAGGATTTGTAATTCGAGTTTGTTTTTACGTGAGTAATGCGATGATATGATACTGATTGTATTTCTGTTTTATTTGTAACGTAACACTAACAATGACTAACAAACGCTTTGAATACATGACGAGCACATGAAGTGTTCGAGTGTGACACTCAAGGTAGTGGCTGGCAGATGATCGCTACATTCAGTCCATCGGTTCTGTTCACACGATCTCTCCGTTAGAGAGCAGTCGACGTTGGTGCGCCCGCGCAGACGCTATTATCACTCTTTAATACTCATAATAACGTACCAAATAAGGATAATTAATTCTAACTAAGATGACGTTATAGTGCTCTATACTCGTTTGGTGAGCGAAGTGTTTTTGTCAGTGTTACTCAGTTGTTAACATCACGCTAGTCGTCTGAACTCGAGTGCCTGTTTCGTGAAAGTTTCTTTCCGTTATATAAACTGCGAATACATTCGATGGTGATACATGAACGTGTTAATTAAAGCTCCTTCTTTTCGTATTCAATATATCATCGATTGGAGGAAACGTGTTGAGCCGGATGCCTTTAGCAAGTGTGCCGCTGGCGCGCTGTGCGATTTCACCCGCTTCACGCACGCTCGAGCTCACCAGCGGGGTCCGTCGGTCTGGTCCATAGAGTTACAGCATTTGCACGAGCATCTGTGTCGCATCGTGTGGTGTGGTAGTGAAAGTGTGTGTAATGATCGCGGTCAGCTGGTCTCGGTGACGTCACGACATGGGCCATGTGGAAGATATGCGGTATCAGTAAGGCCGAGCCCGTGTTGTTCTCTTGCATCGATGACGATTATGTAAGGATAACATCGCGTATGTTGTTAGTGATAAGATGATAATACGTTTTGTTTGCAGTATTTGTTATCGTATACACGTGAAATATTGTTATTTGTGATTTTGTGATGGAGTATAGATATTTTTAAGTCGGTCGATAGTTGATATTACATTTAATAAAAAGCGTTATAACATTAAAATATGTTTCTAAAATGATTAATAAAACTACTGCAGACGAGTCATGGAAATAAATAGATTTTCTCTATCGCAACTTGGATAATTCAGTAATTTAATAATAGCATCTCTGCTTGTTGATTGTGGTTTTATTGCAACCGTTATGAAGTTTGCTCTCAGTTCGTCTTTTGATATAAAAACTATTTGTTCAACAAAGAATAAAAAATAAACAATTAGAGATCAGGAAATATAAATGTGCTAGAACCAGATGAGATACAAGGCCATTGTTCCTTGCAACTAAATGCCTTGCTAATTGGTGATAGAAATATACTGTCCCTTTAAAATGCATGTTTTTTATAATAAAAAATTATAAAAGGCACAATAGCAGTTTTCGAACCTAATTTCGTTAATATCTGTTAAGATCGAGTGACATTTATTTTTCTTCTCCATTCTACTTATTTTTCTAATCCAATTTATTTCTTCACACTAACGGACAGATATATACATATTATTATTTTTTTAATTTACATTTTTTATTTAAATATTGTTATATAACAATTTAACAAAGTCTACTTGACTCAGATATAGATTAATCTGGACGATTTACATTTTACCTAAATCGAGCTCATAATTAAATAATAAAACGAAATTGATTCGTACATTATAATATGGTTTATAAAAGTGATGTGTGTGATGATGGTATTAATGAGGTGGTGGTATGTTCCAGCAGCCGACCTGGCGGTTGTGGGGCGAGGAGAAGGTGGACGGCGCGGTGTACACGGTCTACCTCAAGAAGGTTCGCTACCATCGCCCCACGCGCAGTGCCTCCAGTGTAAGTATTAACATTCACACGAAAACATATTGCTTATTTATTCACAATAAACAGGTACATTCTAGGATGGTCGTCCATTTTTCTATAATAAGTATAGTAGTTTTGAAACTTGGTTTATTAAAGGAAACATCTTTGACTTCACTATGCCAAAAGAGGAAAACATTTCAAGACGAGGCTATAAGACCTAGAAGTATGTTAAACATTCAACAGCAAAATTCTTAATAATATCAATTCATATTGAAATAATGATATTCATAATAAAAAAATTATAATTTACCAAGAAAAATTAGTTTTAAACCCTTAATTATATTTAAATTCATCACTAGATATTGCCTGCGGCTTTGTCGGTATTTAAAACACCCTTGAGACAAGCGTGATTATCGTTTTAGAGCCTCAGTCGATTCTTGAATCTGATTCTAACTAGGAACTGCCTTAAGAAAATGCCCTTTGTAGTAAAGAAATATTACTAAGAATATTCGTTCAATTCAAGGAATAGTAGGAATGGGGAAAGGAAAACTTTCTCATGATTATAGTCGCTTGTGATAGCCAGAGCTACTACTTATTCATTATACAGGGTGACTGGTGAATTACTATCGATATTTGAGGACGTGATATTTGACGATCATATATGACAAAATAAAAATTAATATAACATAAATATTAATAAACTTCTAAGTAAAGTTAACCAAAAGTTGTGTAATTAATTACGCATCGTATGAACACCCTACAGATTAGGTATACACTGACACTCACACATACGCGTGTCGTGACGTGGTGTTGTATCAGCACGCCGCCGCACGCGTCCACACTTGAACACTTGGAACGTGTCAACACTTTATTTATTTATAGGGAAATTTTGTCAAAAATTAAGTACCTATTTTTTTTACATAATTGGAATGAGAATCATGTACCGAGTATTCTCCTTAAATATTGATAGTAATTCACCAGTCACCCTGTATACTTGCGAGTGGAACTCTTGTCAAAAGTGGTGTAGCTGTTCCAGAGATTAGCCGGAACAAACAGATAGACTATGTACAAATTTTTGAATTGCCAATTTGACGTAAGTGTCTCATGTATGATATATGTATGATATATACTGTCAAATGCTTTTAGTGAAAATCAGTTCTTCGAAAATTACAAATAAACATTTAAATTTTTTATTACAATACATTTCTAGTTCTCATGGATTTCATACAAATGACAACATTAGAATGTATCATACTAAATGCGTTTTAAATTATTATTAATATTGGAAATGGACTTAATAGAAGATCACAGATTAGAGTCCAGTTTCTTCTCAAGCAAAATTAAATATACATTTTATAGTAATGGTCGTTACTTCAAGACATTGTATGCTGTCATAAACGTTAGCAGTTTATTGATGTTTTCTTTATAGTTATCATATATTTGTGGCTTTCCCGAGTTTTTACTACACTTAAGTAGCTTACTCAACCCGATTATTAATATGTATTATAAAAAAATATCGATTTATGAGAAGACGAAAACAAATAATATACATATTGTATTTTTAATCGATTTTTACAGTACTTTAATCGTTTTAATATTTGTGTCACCACATGTCAGTACGCCATGTTGTTTATTTAATATACAGTTGTTAAGTAGATTAACACTATAACATTTTTTGTGTCGTTGATGTAATCCTGTAAAAATTTGGGGCTTCACATTGATGTGTTAGAGCCATGAAATATGTACAAATGTATAATGCGGTTGGAATAACTCGATGATTCATGATTGATAATATTGTTTGTTAATAATGACAAATACACACACACACACACACACACACACACACACACACACATAAATGCACATATACACATATGTACACGCATATACGCACACATAGCTACTGTAAATAAAAAACCCGAATCCAATTGCACTGAGTTTATCGTTAGTTACATATTGTGAGTTGTATAAAAATACAATAGGTAATAAAATATTGTTTGTATAAATAATGATACTCTTTCGTGTTAATATTAAAACACTGATATATACAAATACCTAACTTTACTTAATAGTGATACAAAAACAAACCAATTTCTTCTTATAACTTCGGACAAGTAAACTCGAATGAAGACTGAACCGTAATAATATGCATATGATATTTATGTACCTATGTTGTTCTACTATTATATCAAAATATGTTTTTCTTGTGATGCGTGTACATTTTATAACAATGAGTATTGAACTTAGTATGGTATTGCAACGTTAAAAGTTATTCTACTATTAAAAAATAAGAATATACTTTTTATAATGATCATAAGATAAGACTATTCAAAAAGATTAAAGTGTCAAAAACATTGATATTGTTGGTAGTGAGTTTAGCAATGTAAACTTATAATAAAGGTACTATAGTTATTCCGTGATTAAATGTGAAAACCACACTTTTGATGCTTGTAAGTAGTTTCCAACAAAACATATTTGGCCAATAATTACAAGGCAAACTTTTGACAGCAGACATTAGTTTTGATATTGATACGTTTTTAGTTAATTGTTTTTAAATTATTATTAGTCTGGAAATAATAGTCCTTTCTTTGTGTCATCTAATGATTAAGGGTAGTTTTACTAATATTATAATTGCGAAAGTTTGTGATAGTGTGTGTATGTTTGTTACTTCTTCACGCTCAAACGGCTGAACCGCTTTTGATAAAATTTTGTATACTGGAAGCTGACGTCCAGGAATAAAATATAGGCTACTTTACATCCCGGAAATCCCGAAAATCCGCGGGTAACACCGCGGGGCACAGCTAGTTACTCATAAAATCTACATATAAAGTATATACAAATGCTTTTCATAATAGAAAATAGCAGTCTTGGAAATAAAAATCTATAAAACCGATATTATAAAATTCTAGTTATAGTTTACACATTAATTTTAGAGCTATATACACAGCTATATGTACATATACATAGGTGTACAACTTTGCTTCCGCCGTTTTGCAATAAATGGTTGTAGCGGTAAGTGGTAGTCGAAATAAATAGATCGTAGATGTCATACAATAAGCTTAGGCATTTGTAAACATAACGCCATCGAAATATTAGTCGATTTGTGTCTGCATCATAAAGTTATTCTCGATTAAACATGTCAACTTACGAGCCAAATTCTCGTCATTTGCGGGAGGTTTTAATTTTCTGCTTTAATATGAAGAAATCTGCGGCTGAGGCTCATCGAATGCTCTCAAATACCTGATGGTGAGACTGATATTAGTGAAAGAACGTGCCGAGAGTGGTTTCAACGCTTCACGAACGGTGATTTTGACGTCGAAGACCGGCATGGCGGTGGAAGAGAGAAGGTTTTCGAAGATGCAGAATTGGTGGCATTACTTGATCAAGACTCGTGTCAAACGCAACAATAATTGGCAGGATCATTGGGAGTGATGTAACAAGCCATTTCAAAATGCCTGAAAGTCATGGGAATGATTCAGAAACAACGAAATTGGGTGCCGTACGAGTTGCAGCCGAGAGATGTTGAATGGCGTTTGTTTACTTGTGAATAGCTGCTTGCAAGGCAAAGACGGAAAGGATTTCTGCATCACATTGTGACTGGGGACGAAAAATGGGTTCATTACGATAATCCCAAGAGCAGAAAATTATGGGGATATCACGGCCATGCTTCCACGTCGACGGCCAAACCGAATATTCACGATTCCAAGGTATGCTCTATATTTGGTGGGACCAGCTCGGCGTAGTGCATTATGAGTTGTTAAAACCGACTGAAACAATCACAGGCGATAGTTATCGAACACAATTAATGCGTTTGAGCCGAGTATTGAAAGACAAACGGCCGCAATACAACGAGATACATGATAAAGTGATTTTACAGCACGACAATGCTCGACCCCGTGTTGCCAAAGTGGTCAAGACATACTTGGAAACGTTGAAATGGGAAGTTCTACCCCACCCGCCGTATTCTCCAGACGTTGCTCCCTCGGACTATCACTTGTTTCGATCAATGGCACACGGCCTGGCTGACCAGCACTTCCGGTCTTATGAAGAAGGTAAAAATTGGATCTATTTGTGGATCGCTTCAAAAGATGACCAGTTTTTTCAACGCGGGATTCGTATGCTGCCCGAAAGATGGGAGAAAGTAGTGGCCAGCGATGGACAATACTTTGAATCATAAATGTATAACCAGTTTTTTACAATAAAGCCTCGAATTTCGGAAAAAAACGGCGGAAGCAAAGTTGTACACCTAATAATTTAACCAAAAATTAAAGAGAAAACACAAATAACTATAAGTAGATTTATGAAATTGATTACCATATTTATTTTAATGAGACACTATTCATTATACGTTTCTCTTTTAAGCTAATTCGGAAGTCCACACTAACAAAATGTAGGACAGAAACTAGTATATCATAAAACTATCACATATAACTTTAAATTGCTGACATTAAACTTTCGCGTGACTGTATACGAAATGTAAAACAGAGTATGGATGTTCTAGTAAAATGATTATAATTCAGTTTCTAGGTTACCGTGATCGAACTATTCTATACTACCATGACTCATACTGGAAGGTCGTTATATACTAAAAATTGATTACATTTCCTTCACAAAATCAATGATTAGATTGTAGAGGAGCAATTTAAATTATTTTTCTATATAATGATAGATAGATAGTAAGTCAGTGGTGGCCTAGTGGTTAAAAGGCCCGCCTCTGATGCATGAGGTCGCGGGTTCGATCCTGGCCCGGGCAAGTAGCCAAAAGAGGGTTGATGTCAGGCAGGCGGCCGGTCGTAAAAACAAATAGCCAAAACTATTCACAACATATAAGACAGACCCTGGCTATAGCTGGGAAATTGCCAGGTAGAAGAAGATTCTATATAATGATAGTAAATGTAGTTTTTATTCTGAATTGTTCCTTATATATTTCAGGAGTCAGACGACGAGATCTCCCACCTAGAGTGGGAAACCGTGCGAGTGCGCTTTGTGAAGGCTGGAACAGTTGAACGGCTGGTGGAGGCGCTCGCCACTGACGATGGTGAACTCGAGTCCACATACGTCAACGTCTTCCTTGCCACTTACCGGTAAATAATCTAATATATAAAATTTCCATGTCACAATGTTAGTTACCGTACTTCGAAACGGCTTTTCCGACTTTTACCAAACTTTATATGCGTATTCAGTACGTCTGAGAATCGGCTACTATCTATTATGCATACTCCTAAGTGATAAGGAGTTGTTTGCCCTTAATTTTTTTTTAATGTACGAAAAATATTGTTTTTTAATTTTTATAAAGTGGCACGAAAATACATACAACCCTTAATATTTACTTTTTATTACCAAACTCTATTTTTTATGTGGCAAAACAACGATTGACGGGTCAGCTGGTATCTCTATATAATTTATGAAATACTTACAATACTTGGTTAAAGAATATATTATGTATAATTCCAGCTCATTTGCGGAGTGCGGTAAAGTGCTGGATCTACTGCTGCGGCGGTATCAAGCACTGGCGTCGGAAGACGTCCTCCCTGCGACGGTCGATACATCGCAGCAACATAGAAAGTTAGTTGTGTACATAATTCATACAACATAGATGCACAGCTTCAAATTATTTCAAATGCCTCTTGTCTCCTCTGGAGGACTTAATATGTTACTTTCTATAAAGCGAAACATTACATTCAGTTACTATCGTGTTTATAGGACTCTGGTGGCATGTCTCCACGTTTGGTTGGATACCTATCCGGAAGACTTTCGACAACCTCCTCACCATCCCGCACTGCAGCAGCTTCTCGCCTTCACACAGCTTCATCTGCCTGGCTCTGAGTTACACTCGAAGGTTGCTATCGCATATTTTTCTTATTTAATTATAATGTATAACATCTTTCCACAAAGTTTTAAAATATTCTTTACCTATTTTCCAGGTGTTACAGAAGCTAGCAGTGTTCAGTGCGGAACGAAACGGATGTGTGGGTGGAGCGGGGGTGTGCCTCGCGCCTGGTATGCGCGTGCTGCAACACCACACTAGCGCCTACCGCCTCCCACACGTACCCCATAGACACTTCGCTGAGCAGCTCACACGTATGGACATGGAACTGTTCAAGAAGCTGGTGCCCCACCAGTGTCTCGGCGCGGTGTGGTCCAGGCGTGACAAGGACCGATCCCACGACGCCGCCACTGTCCTGGCGACGGTCAATCAATTCAACGCGGTGTCCTTCCGTGTTATATCAACCGTACTCGTCGAACCTAACCTCAGGCCGATAGAACGTACGGACATACTCGCCGCCTGGCTCGACATAGCTCGGGAACTTCGGGTGCTGAAAAATTTCTCTTCATTAAAGGCCATAATTTCGGGGTTGCAAAGCAATCCCGTCTATAGGTTAAGGAAAACTTGGGCCATTCTGTCCAAAGAAAAAGCGGAACTGTTCGAGGAGTTGGCAAGAATATTCAGCGAAGATAACAATCGTTGGGCCCAGCGTGAACTTTTGATGCGTGAAGGTACTGCCAAATTTGCAGATACCGTGGGCGAGAATGACAGACAGTTACAGAAATTATTACACGAGCGAGGGTCACCCGGCGTCAGCCACGGGACTATACCGTACTTGGGAACATTTTTAACAGATCTTACTATGATCGATACCGCTATACCAGATACTGTGTTCGATGGTTTGATAAATTTTGATAAAAAACGAAAAGAATTCGAGGTTCTCGCCCAAATCAAATTATTACAGGGCGCCGCAAACGCCTATCACTTACCTTGCGATCCCCTGTTCGATAGATGGTTTGATTCAGTGATCATCCTAGACGACAGGGAGGCGTATCAGTTGTCATGTCAAATAGAACCACCGACGAATCCCCCAAAAGAACGAAGACCAAAGAATATAAACAATAACAGCCAAGGGCACAGGAAAAATGATTCAATTGCTAGTACAAGTTCCAGTAACAGTTCTCAATTCTACTGTGAGACTGACGGCGCCGGTAACGCTTGGAAACGTGATAGTTTGGAGCGGCGTATATCACCAACGAGATTGTCTCACGGTTCCTCCTCATCTTCTTTGCCTTCTCTAGACGTGTCACTGTCAAGCGCTAACAGCGGTCAGAAGACTGCCAACGGTAAAGCCCCGGCGACCAGTCCAGCACACCCTAACAAGACCGGCCCTGACTTCTATATCATCCGAGTGACTTATGAGTCTGATTGCGTTGAAACAGAAGGCGTGGTTCTCTACAAGTCTATAATGTTGAGTAACAATGAGCGCACGCCGCAAGTTATTCGTAACGCGATGTTGAAATTAAATCTCGACGGGGATCCAGATTCTTATACACTGTCACAAGTTTTACCAGAAAAAGGTGTGTATAAATAAATGTTTCAATAGTTCTATTTTACTATAATTGTAGTTCTTATAGTACTTTTTAAGTCCAATTGTTTAGCGCATGCTAGAGACTCTTTCGTTTATCAAAATGCCACCAAAAGTAAAGACTCAATTACTTAGTAAGTATTTATATTACTTTTCAAGTAAAATGTTATCTATTTTCAAAATATAGATAATAGAATGTTGTTTTACTTAAAGCTTCTTATGTTTTATAAAAACTAAGCATATGAAACTGTTGTAGTGGATTTTTAGTTATACATGTAAACTGTTCTTACAGAAATGGTGTTGCCATCAAATGCGAACGTCTATTACGCTGTCAACACGGCGTATAACTTGAATTTTATATTAAGACCACGCAAACCACAGACTGAAGCTATCGTTAATGGAAAAGCTAAGAACAAACGAACGTGATCCTTTCCGGATATAACTGAACTGTTTTGCTGTACTTTTAACTGACAAGGACTATCGGGAGTTTAGCAAAATGGACTAATAACAGTGTTAAAATGGCGGCAAATATCAAGGACAACCCATGACAAGACATTTATCAGTGTTTTATCATAAGACTTACCGATGTACCGTGTTTTAGTAATGGTGAATGTTCAGTAAAGTGTTCGATTGGCGGAATGATATACATTATACAAAATATTTCGTCGTTTCTAGATCTATTCAACTACTCGTGCCTGATAATTTGAAATGTTCCCACGTCACTAAATGTTGTAAATTAACAGCTAGATAATTTTTTTATATGTTTTATTTAAATGTAAATAACATGCTCTCAATGCCACCTCTAAGTTAAGTGTTGTAAGTAATGTGATTTTTTTTATATTTGTATATATTGATTTTATATTTATTATTAAGAATCTCGTGTATTATTTTTTTTGTATGAATGATATTAAGCCAAAGGCAATACTATCTCTAATAGGTGCTGTTAATATTTGTATGTATATTAGGAGCTTTAAAACATAATACATTTTAAACCGAATTTCGAATGATACTTAATAATATAAGTGATAATACCGCTGAATTTGATGCATGAGAAAAAATATACTTAATGAAATTGAATTTAATAGGATTCTTTGTTTTTAATACTATTATAAACTGCATTTGGATTATAGTGCCTATATTAAAATATTGTATACATGTAATATTATATGTTTTTTGGGGCATTTATAACAATGTAACTGTATTAAATACTCCTTTAATAAGTGTTCATGTTACCTGGAGTAGTGGAGAAGCATGTTCGGGACTTTACAAAACCTTTGTTAATAAATGTACTTTATAATGTAGCTCTCACCAGTGTCCCCGCGTAACTTGTTATATTTTGTACAATAAAATATTGATGAATAACCTTTAATTAACTCTTTTATTATATTATATTCATATTATCTTTATTTTTCTATTAATGTGGCCAGAATTCCATATAAGATGTCCTTTAAAGTTGTTGATCAATCAAAACAATTTAAATTACTATGTAGTCTTTTGACTTATTAAGTGTTTTAGTTTATTAAAATTTTACTCAACACTTTTTTCATGAAAGCGTGGTCCAAATACCGTAATGTGCTATGTCTAAAATTATATAATCATATCATCTCTCAACCAAATAAAATAAAAAAATGTGTCAATTCTTAATTTAATAAGCAATGTTGTAATTGTAGTTTACTGAAAATGCGTTAGAGGGCGTTTACAACAATACAAGAAAAAATGAAACAGAAATAACAGTTTCTTTTTAAACAGGCTGTTATTTAAGTCACAAAAAACTTATTAAAAAGTATTTGCTTTATATAATCTTTTCGTATAGGCATTTCAATTGTAGACTTAGCAAAAGAAGTCCAAATTTGCAATTATTTGAAGGGTTTTATTACCTGCCAAATAACTGTGATTCTGAATCTAGTGCAATAAAAAAGGTAGCAGTTGGTATGCGATTCCCTTATTTTACAAGGCGTCGGTAATAATTTATAACACGGAAACCATAATGTGGTAAATTAAAACCTAGCTGGCATAAAAGAAGGCAGGTCATAGCAGATTACTTCTTTACAAAACTACTCAGGAGTGCCTAAAGTAATTTCTACAAAAAGTTAACTCGTTATTTAAAAAAAATGTTCATCACTAATGGGTATCTTTTTCCATTATTTTTTAGACTAAAGCCAGAAGATTTTTTGTTTTCATAAAAATTGTGATGAACTTTTTAACCAATTCTAAGTTAATTTGATTAAAAAATCTTCTTTTAATCTCTGAAAGCTATTTTGTGCTAAAGTTGATTTTTGACTTGAATAAACAGTTTAAGTCAGCTCTTATTAAAGTACTACGAGCTAATACAAAAAAGAGTAGGTAAACGATCATTAGAAAAAAAAGGAATTGCAATTGTTTATTTAATTGTTTTCGACGGAAACCATTAAGGCCATTAGCTGGTGAAAAATTAGAATCGTTAAAGTGTCATTTTCACAGCGTTTAAAAATAGCACCGACTGTATAATGCGAAAGGTACATTTTGTGGCGCATGGCAGGCCACCTGCGTGTGCCACCGTTTGACAGTTAGTCGGCTGAAAATTTCATGGCCATCGTATCGAACGAGGGGACGCGCAGTCGCGAGAGGACGAACCACCGCCTCACAACAACAACCTCGGAGCTCTCACTAGTGCCGGTCGAGTGTGCAGTGACACCACGTGAACTGCTGATACCGATATGTGAATTGAAACGTCTTTGTCTGCTCCCGTTGGAGCTATGGCGCGTTATCGTATAGCGCGCAAAATGAAATAGTCAGGTGAGATGCTTTACACTCAATGTTACTCATTTATGTTTATAATGTTGTTGGTATTTTGATATTTTGTTATTGAAATTTTCGTGACACGACTTTAGTGAATATAGGTTAAAAATTATGAATAAGTTTGAGTTAATTGATAGTAATTGTTGGGGTGTCGTGTTAAGAAGGCACGTTGGTGGGAGCGGCCGACATCTACATTGAAGCTCCATCAGTGCCGCAATCTGATTACGGCACACCTTCTGAAATATAAGACAATGACCCAATGACTTTTTAATTAATTTATTACTTGGCAATATTTCTAAAATAAATACATTTATTTTAGTACATTTTGTTGTAAACGATTGAAAAAGTGTGCTGTCATAATTAAGGTAGAATATTTTGTTTTTTTCATTCACAAGTTTTAACTTTTTAGTGTTATACATTGTTTAAAGTTTTAGGAAAACGTAAAAAATATTCTTGATAAAGAATAGATCTTATTGTTTAAAAATTTGAATAATTTTGATTTTAGTTAATTTTAAATATATTTATATTTGAAAACATGTTTGTTGTATCATATAAAACATGGAGAGGTTAATATTTTTGTTCTATAAAAGTATATTCTTCTTGATAAAAAAATATACACTTTAATTTTATTATACTTTATTTATTTATTCCACATTTTAAGGGCTTATTTACAGTTTTACAAGACGGCAATCAGAGTAATTGTTCAGTAATTCATAAAAATATATTTTATAAATTTTGAATAGTTGATAGGTAGTAGATAAATTGTCATTTTGTCTCTTTTATTAACAGTCCATAAAGATACTACTCATTGAGAATTCCTCATCAAAAACGTACATGGAACCAGTATATTTTCACCGTATTTCTATTTTAACCCAATTTTTTTGACACTGCTTAAGGAACTTTGGGACATTTTAAAATAAAAACCATTTTGGAATTTCCTCTGGAGTGACTCACATTATTGACATAAATTTACCTTTTTTTAACTATATAAGTGCCGTAAAAACGTTATGAATTATGGTTTTCCTTAGTTTCAATGGAATATAGGAGTAAATAGTAAATTTTCAAATCAGACTTCATAACAATAAATAGTGTAACTTGCGGGTAAATCGCGTGACATTAGAGCTGGCTGCACGCGACGTCCCCGACAATCCAATAATTTAAGTTCAGAGGCTTTTTATTTAAATTTCTCCTGAACTGCATGTGAGTAAATTATAGACGAAACTGGAAACTAACAACGTTGTTTAAATCACAATGTAATTGGCCTCGTTCATCAGACAATTTAACGTCCAAACTTCGTCGATAAAGTGATTTATTTAATTGTTTTATAAACCAATTATCTTCTAGAACGGATATGTTTATAGCGTTTAAAAAGTTCTAAATTTATTTATGTATCCAGTAGTCGAAATTACGTAAGTTATACGATCCCGACGAAATAAAATAGAAGTTTCCGAAATTAGAGCCATCAATGGTCTGTGGATCGTAAACAAAGACGTAAAAGGCGACGTGAAATCATTTTACTGTGGAAATTATTTATGTTTTGTATTTTTTATTTATGTTGTCGCACGTTTTATAGATCTTTTAAGGAAATTTTGGACCATTCCTGGTTTATAAGAGTATCGAGGAAGACAGAAAATTTTAAAAATTTTTAGAACACGTTATCTGATATATAAAAATTTTAGTTTGGAATTTTTCATAATAAAGACAAAGAGTCATTCTAGCTTGAAATGAAAACACTTGTTTTGTATATCATTTGTTAATGATCATTGAAAAAATATGTCATAATTCCAATAAGAAAAAAGTCGATTTGATAGTATTATACCTTTAAAATAAAACGTGTTCACTTATGTTCAACGTATTGTATGGCTTCATATGAACTACTTATTTCCAAGGTCAGAAAACAGATACAAAGTCGTATTATAGAGTATAGTTCTTATACATAGCTACAGTACTTCAAATGTCAAAAAAGTTATTTTCTATCAAGTCTTTAAGTATCCGAATTAATGATTGGTTTGCCATTTCGAACATTTTGCAGTTGTCAAACCGCGACCTACATATACATATATCGATGTATGCGGACAACAGTTTTCTATTATCAAAGTTGAGTTTTTCTCATAATTCTTATACATATATTTTACCACATACTTAATGGCTATTTTATCATATGTCCAAACAATTAATAAAATTAAACAGTCAACACTTAACACTCAAGAGTTTTCGGATTGCGTGTTGAAGTTGTCCTGTATTTTTGATTTTGTTAATACAATTTAAAGGGCCAATATGTTTTAATTACTTTTCAACAGTCAAATTTTATTTTATCACCCCCACACTTATAAATATAAGTAAGGTTAAAGTCCATAATTTACGAAATACATCTCATATAGCGGATGTTGATGGCCAGTTACATGAACTCATGACAAACCAACTTTCTTCTTTTCTTTTCTATTTTTTCGTATTTTTATTCAGTTCGGTTGAAAAAAACTTGAATCTATGAACTTCTTAATGATAAATATATTTGTTGAGATTATTTTAGGTAAAATACTATTAAAAATTGACGTTTGTAGATATGTATATTAAAGTAATAACAAATTATTTCGAAAATTATTGGATAAGGTCGTAAAAAAATATATATATTTGAAAAACGACCTTTT